GCGAAATAAATACATAAATGTTTTCCTATTTGTTCTTTATTTAATCATTTTGTCGGATTTAATAAAGATTTTCAAACTTCAAACGTTATTTTTATTGGATACTCGTGTTTGAAATAAACGCCACGTTTATATTTATATATATATATATATATATATATGATAATAATAATAATAATAATAATAATAATAATAATAATAATAATAATAATAAACAGTGTACACTATGCATTGGGGCCTCCACATTCGTGAAAACTTATAAAAAAATATCTGCCCCCGATTCGGCTTCGAATATGCACCCCCTTTCTAGCAGGGAGCACCGTGTGATTCAACCTGCTTTAAACCGCTCTACCTCAGAGAGAGTCACAGCCCAACAAAGTTCTATTTCCCCTGATATGGAATACTCACTTCGTCGTTCAATTATTCTCGAAAAGCCCATATCTACTCAGCCTTGTATCAGAAACGGAAACAAAATAGAATTAATGGATTTATTTTTAATATAATATTTTTACAGTATTTACATTAGTCGGACTATTGTCCTCATCTTTGTCGCCATATTTGTCACAACGTTTCGGCCGTTGTACGCTCCGGCCTTCTTCAGGTGGTTGGAATTTCGAACTGAACCCTTTATTTCGATCGCTGGGGTAGACTGTTCTAATTCCACGTGCCATGTTTGATGGATGTCAGTTATTCTGCTGATATCCACTGTTTATTATTATTATCATATATATATATATATATATATATATATATATATAATAAATATAAACGTGGCGTTTATTTCAAACACGAGTATCCAATAAAAATAACGTTTGAAAATCTGCTAATTTTCCCTCTGAAAGTTCTCCACTGCCTTAACCAGGAATTGAACTCACCTTCTTTGGGTCTGTCACTGGATCTAACCAACGCCTTTATCCACTGTGCCATGTGTCCTTGAGGACATCTGAGTATGAACTTCTGAGTATTATAAACCTAATGTTTTCAGCATCATTTTTACCAGTGCTCCATATTGCAATTTTTGCTGTTATCATTGCATGTCTTTACCAGAGTTCATATTGCAACTTTGTTATCATTGCTTTTCTCTGGCACTCCTTATTACTGGTTCCCATATTGTATTTATTTCTATGCTTGGTCGGCTCAGGAGATTTTTGTGGCCTAGCATATGTGCTGATTCCTTAAGTTTACGAATTTTCCAATGGTGTTCCCTGTCTATGATCTCAACATGATCCCACAGGGGCGGTGATCTCCCCCTCTCTCCATATGTGGTCAGCCACGCCTGATTTTTCTACTTCCCTCGCGTTACAGCTTTCTGGTGTTCTTGAAGCCTTACCTTGAGGGGCGGCCTGTCTCTCCTTTATATTCCTTTCCGCAGCTGCTTGGGATAGCGTACACACAGTCTTTAGTCATGTTCCTCTCTATGGGGGTCTCACTCGTGAGAGATACCTGCGAAGTGTTGTCACGCTTTTGAAGGTTGTCCTGATGTTATATGGACCGCAGATCTTTTGTATTTTCTCTGATAACCCCTTCACATAAGGCAGGCAGACTGTTTTCTGAGTGTTGTTGTCCTCCTCCTCCTCTCTTGTTCCCCGCCTATCCCAGTTTTTGGGGGGTGCTGCCATGTACCCATGGTAGTTGTTGCGTTGTAGGGTACTACTTATACTGACCAATTCCTTATCTAACGTCTCTGGATCGCCACTTATGACTTTTGCTCGATGTTGTAAGCATCGGACGATCCTTTCTTTACGCTGTATGGATGGTGGGAGTTGAAATTGAGGTACTGTCCGGTGAATGTTGGTTTACGGTATACGGATGTCTTGAACCCATTCTCTGTTCGAGATATTAGTACATCCAGGAATGGGAGTGAGTTGTTACTCTCTTTCTCCATTGTGAACTGTATCGAAGGTCTTATTGAGTTCACATGGTCCAGAAGAACCTGGACTTCTTCCTGATGTGGCCAGAGTATGAAAGTGTCATCTACGTACCGTAACCATATAGTTGGCTTTAGCGATATAGACTCTAATGCCATTTCTTCAAAGTATTCCATGTATATATTCGCCATTGCTGGTGATAATGGCGAGCCCATTGCTAAGCCCTCATCCTGTCGATATATGTGAGATCCCATTCCGAAGTGTGTTGTTTGTGTACAGAAAGTCAACATCTCCATCAGATTATCTATAATATTTTTAATATCTATCTATCTATCTATCTATTTATCTATCTATCTATCTATCTATCTATATATATATATATATATATATATATACACATTTCATTGAATACAACAGACAAGCTGCTTTGATTTAGTTTTTTATACAATTTCTCATGCGATCTAATATTTTATAAAATATAATAATAATTTATATACTAATATAATAATAATTTATGTAAAAACTGTCCGAACACTTTCGACTATACATTTAGACATTTTCAAAGATGAAATATTTTAACAGTTAAATAAGAAGTTAGTTGCATGTATGTATCTATATAATGTTTTCATTTTCCAAACACGGTCAAGATATTATGTCCATGTTCGTAGTTCATATTGTTATGTGTTGGTTCTCTTGCCTTTATTAATAAGGCTTCTATTATTTTAGCCTTTTTTTGCATGTAGATGATGCTATTATATTTGTGTTGTCAACAAATGTTATGAATAGTGTCCGGTAGGTCTCCATGAATATTTAAATGAGAACTAATTGAGCTATGGTCAGAAAGGTGTAGAGTGAGTCTGCGTGTCAAACATGTTGTAGTGTGGCCTATATAATTATTTAGGAATTTTGATCAGGTATACAATTACTTAATGGGCATTTAAATTCGTAAATAATATTTGCCCTATTTAATTCTAGGAGGTGAATTATTATTTTTAACTATAAAGTTAAAGGTTTTAAATTTTTTGTAATAAATAATTAATCAGAATACCATAAAGAAGGTGTAACTTTTAAAATTTAATAATATATATATATATATATATATATATATATATATATATATATATATATATATATATGTGTGTGTGTGTGTGTGTATATATATATATATATATATATATATATAGTTTTAAGCTATGCTATATTACTGGTTAAATGTGCTCAATATTAGGGACAGAGCGTATGTAAGTTAAAAAAATGCGCCTTTTTCTCCGATATTGAGTTGAGAAAAAGAGAAAACGAAAGGGACATGTGATTCAACACTGCATAGAGACTTATTTTCATGCTTCAGTGCAGTGAAAGTTGGAGAAAAGACGGATTCATGCCTTTCGCAAGGCCTTAGTGATTTCAACAGACTCGTCTGAAATGTGTCTGGTGATCGCATTGAATATGAAACTGACAGTCACCATCGAGTGTAGATACTTATGTCAACAATGTCTCTCTCCATATGTTTGTATTCGGACGTGCGTAAGTGTGCGTGTGCTTGTGTGTGTGTGTGTGTGTGTGTGTGTGTGTGTGTGTGTGTGTGTGTGTGTGTGTGTGTGTGTGTGTGTGTGTGTGTACGTAAGCGACTTTTTGCGCAGGCACACGCACATATATGGGTGTATTGTAAAATAAATTTAACATAAATATGCTCGATATATACATGACCATCTATAATATATATATATATATATATATATATATATATATATATATATATATATATATATAAGTGACATTTTGTTTGTATTTACTTTTATTTCAACTACTTTAATACGAGATTTTGTCTAAAGTGATAGGAGCCAATATAAATAAAAGCTCGATAGTAAATCCACACCTGATCAGAAAGGTCAGTCAGTCTGCCTGTCACACAGGTGAGAATGTGATACCCAAGTCTCTTTGCACACCTGAACTCTGTGTTTTTTGTATTAGGTTTAATTAATTGTTTTCTTTGACCCACCCATCATCATTGGCGACAGTTTCGCACCTTGGCTTGGGTATCTCCAATTTCTCGCTCTCGGCCGTTGTGTCACAATATTTAATCCACCCACCGACACGCCATTTGAAGTTACTGAATCTAATGCCATATATAGGTTTAGTGAGAATCTATTCTCGTAACCAATGGGTTTATGTGGGCGAGTGTATGCCTCACACAACCTTATGTATGTCTGAGGTTGTATTTTTGGATGCGTGTATTCTTTTGTGTCTGTTTACGCACCAGTATATGCAGGTTCCTTGTATTCACGTCAAACACTGAGTTATTTATGTAAAAGACAGATCTGAATCGATTTGATAATATTTTGCGTGTAACACACTTTCTCTCCCCATATATATATATATATATATATATATATATATATATATATGTGAACATTGAAGTCAACACTCTGAGGCGACAGGCTGTTCCATGCTAGGCGCAATCCTCAGAGCGATTATCAAAGAGGATTTTATTTTTTCAGTTTAATTGAGAGATGTTTTATTTTCCGTGTGTTTTTTAGTATTATATAGATATTTTATTTATATATATATATATATATATAAAATATATATATATAGTTAGATCTGACAGTTTCCGTAAATTTTTCTTCATAAACATATATATATATATATATATATATATATATATATATATATATATATATATATATATATACAGAGAGGGGGAGAGAGAAATAAAGAAAGACAGAGTCCCCACTGCGAAGTTAATTCTTTTTTCATTTCGTTGGAGAATTTCAAAGAGGAAACCTTTCTTCATTTTGTAAGTTTTGGACACCCTTTCCAAGTATATATATATATATATATATATATATATATATATATATATATATATATATATATATATATATATCGTATATATTTATATATATATATATATATATATATATATATATATATATATATATATCGTCATATTTTATTCTTAGCAATTATTCTATTTGGATCCGCATCTTTTTTCCACATTCTCTCAGTATTGTTGACGGCTTTTTGTCGAATGTAGGATTGCAGGAATGCAAACTTTCTCGGAGAATGGCAAGGTAAGAAAATATGGAGGACAAAATAAACACTCCAAGAAAAGTGAAAGAAAAAGTGTAGAAATCATGAAACCTGCAGTATGAAGAAACCTGCGTAAAATGAAGGAACGAAAAGAGAGGAAAATAAAGGAAAGAAAGGGAAGAGAGGAAAGGAATTGAAGTGGGAAGTTAAAGAAAAAAGAAAGAAAGAAAAAGAAAGAAAGAGAGGTACGGAAAAAAGGAAATTGTCGTAACGGGACAGAGAGTAAAAGGATTGAAAGAGTATGAAGAAAGGAAGGCAAACCGAAGAATGAAATATAGAAAAAGGAAAAAGAAAAAGAAAGAAAGAAAGAAAGAAAGAAAGAAAGAAAGAAAAAGATAGGTAGGGGCATGAAAAGAAGGAAATTGTCAGCATTGAACGGAAGACAGAAAAGTAAAAGGAAGGAAGGAAGGAAGGAAGGAAGGAAGGAAGGAAGGAAGGAAGGAAGGAAGGAAGACAAACTGAAGAATGAAATATTAACAAGGAAAAGAAAGAAAGAAAGAAAGGAAAGAAAGAAAGAAAAGAAAGAAAAGAAATATATAGTAGGGCATGAAAGAAGGAAATTGTAGAAACGGAAGACAGAAAAGTAAATAAGGAAGGAAGGAAGGAAGGAAGGAAGGAAGGAAGGAAGGAAGGATTTGATAGAGTATGGAAGGAAAGCAAACTGAAGAATGAAATATATAGCAAGGTATGGGAATATAGAAATAAATAAGAAAGGAAGGAAGGAAAGAAGGAAGGAAAGTATTCAAAGGAAGTAAATGTATGCAAGTGAGTGAGCCAGAAACAAGAGAAATGAAGGATAAAAGTAAGAAATGCTGAAAAGAGTTTTAAAAGGAGAGATGATAGAAGAATGGATTATACAGAAAGAAAGAAAGAAAGAAAGAAAAAAAGAAAGAAAGAAAGAAAGAAAGAATTCTATGTAGGAGCGTGAAAAGAAGGAATCATAGAAGATTGAGTCATAGACAAAAGAAAGGATGAATGAAAATTAAAAGGAAAGAAGGATGGGAAAAGTGGTAGGAGGAATGGAATGAAGAACACAGAGAAGAATAAAATGTATAGAAAGCAAGGAAGAATTGGGACAACAGAAGGAAGGGAATATAAAAGACAGGAAAGAATAAAAACGTTTGAGGGAAGCAGTGGCGTGGATTTAGAATGAGGACAAACAAATAAGGAATAAAACGAATGAAATTATAAAGAGAAGAAGAAAAGGTGAAAATGAAGTTAAAAGAAAAGAAAACGAAGGGAAAAAAGAGAAGAGAACACAAAAAACGAGAAAGTGGAATGAGGGGAATATATTTAAGGATGAAATACAATAAAAAATGAAGAGACGGACATTTAAGAAAAGAAGAAAAACAGAAAGATAAAATATTTAAAATGGAGATAAAAAAAAGCTGAGGACGTAAGGGAGTAAACAGAGAAAGGAAAAATAAAGAAGGCATAAAAGAACGTTGAACAAAAGATTTTTTTTTTTAAAAAAAGAAAGAATAAAAAAGATTGTTTCACCAAGGAGAGTAAGGAGAAATCTAAAGGAGAGTAAGGAGTGCTGGTCTTCATAAGAAAACAACGTAAAGTATCAAATGAACTAATGGAGACATGGTATCGGGTGTTTTCTTTGATGAGGTCGTCATTACATACGCAACACCTGGCTGTAGTTAGGTATTCAATCCCCTTTATAAACACCGAAGCTAAAGAGATAAAACTTTAGCCAGCGAAAAATGCACAGGAACGGAAGAACCAGCTCTTTATAAGTAGACAACGCTTTAAAAACTAGAAAACAGTTATGGTCAATATTCCGTTTCCTTATTTCATATTTTATTACATGACAGCTTATCAATTATTGGTTGCCTAAAAATACCCGCAGTGTTCAGAGGTGCAACACAAATTTAACAGAGAACTTAATGATAAGAAAAACATTCTCATGTTTCATAACAAGAATAATTCAAGTTTACTTTTATGAATTTATACAATGGTATTTCCGTTTTTTTCTATTCCAAAGCTTATTTCGTGTACACAACAAAATAATATTTATGACGCTAAAATCTCTGTCTCTATCTCTCTCTCTCTCTCTCTCTCTATATATATATATATATATATATATATATATATATGACGGAGTCTACCTCAGTCAGTGTTTATGCTTGCGTCATATGTGACACTCAGATGCGGCTTGTCATCTATATACAAGTCCACATATTATGCAACAGGAAGGATCTCGTGACATACCCGCCGACATATTTGTTGTAATATTTGTTGACTTTTTCGCCGTTGTCCTTTATCTAAGACGATAAATACGACTGATAATATATATATATATATATATATATATATATATATATATATATATTATCTTATATATTAAAAAATATATGTATATTTTTCTCCGTTCCTTCTTCCATACTCTATCCCAATTTTATATTTTAAACTTAATGCTGGGTTAAACTTAAAAATTAAAATTTGTCATTTTTATTTTTAACATTGCAATAAACTTAAAAATAAATCAGACTGATTTCTCATCCAGTATAATATTATTATTAAGCCATTAAAAAATTGTATGTAAGGTTCGTTGTCAACTTTTTTGACTTATCATCTATTGATTGTTCCTTGTAGCTTACGTAACAATGTTTCTCTTATTGAAAAAAGTTTGGTTGGATTTGAACTTTTTAAAATTCTTTATTCTGCAATCAACACCATCACCTGACACCAGAAGCGTTTAATCAAAATGGCTATTTTTATCTGTCTATATTTCTGAGATGTGGTATTATGTACACCATTTACATTATTCGGACTCATTTTTGTCATCATATTTATTACAACGTTTCGGCCGTTGTACATTCCTTCTTCAGATGGTTGGAATGTCGAACTGAACCCTTTATTTCGCTCTCTGGGATAGACTGTTCTAGTTTCCCGTGCAATGTTTAACGGATGTCAATTGTCAGATATCTCCTGTTAATTCCCCTCTCCAAATTCTCAACTGCCTTAACTAAGTATTGAACTCACAGTCTTTGAGTCCTGTCACTGGCAAAAAAAAATGGTTGCTGATGACATTAGATTTATAATACCCAGAAAGGACACTTGGCACATTGGATGAAGACCTTAGACCCAGTGACAGGACCCAAAGAGTCTGAGTTCAATACCTGGTTGAAACGTTGTAATAAATATGGCGACAAAGATGATAGCCCGAATAATATAAATAGTGGCTATTTTTATAAATTATGTTATACCGTTTATGTTCTTTCTTTCTTTCTTTCTTTCTTTCTTTCTTTCTTTTATCTATCTCTCTCTATATATATATATATATATATATATATATATATATATATATGCGTGAGTGTGTTTCTAATTAAATTCGCTTTGAACACTGATCAACCAAATCTAAAAGATTCGTGCATTCACACACAATTATCAAAGCTAGCTTACGGCCACACCATGTTGTAACACCGCTTCTCTGAAAGATCACTGGTTAAAAACGTTGAAACTTTTGACGACTGACCAAGCTCGGCTGATTCTACCAGAACCGATGTTTGAACGTGATATGACCGTAAGCTCTACTGACTCTACTGACCGTAAGCTCTACTGACTCTACTGACCAAAGCTCTACTGACTCTACTGACCGTAAGCTCTACTAACCAAAGCTATACTGACTCTACTGACCGTAAGCTCTACTGACTCTACTGACCAAAGCTCTACTGATTCTACTGACCGTGAGCTATACTGACTCTACTGACCGTAAGCTCTACTGACTCTACTGACCAAAGCTCTACTGACTCTACTGACCGTAAGCTCTACTGACTCTACTGACCAAAGCTATACTGACTGACCCAAAGCTATACTGACCGTAAGCTCTACTGACCAAAAAGCTCTATTGACTCTACTGACTGTAAGCTCTACTGACCAAAGCTCTACTGACTCTACTGACCGTAAGCTCTACTGACCTACTGAAAAAAGCTACTGACTCTACTGAACGTAAGCTCTACTGACTCTACTGACCAAAGCTATACTGACTCTACTGACCGTAAGCTCTACTGACTCTACTGACCAAAGCTCAGCTGACTCTACTGACCATAAGCTCTACTGACTCTACTGACCGTAAACTACTGACTCTACTGATCAAAGCTCTACTGACTCTACTGACCGTAAGCTCTACTGACCAAAGCTCAGCTGACTCTACTGACCATAAGTTCTACTGACTCTACTGACCGTAAGCTCTACTGACCTACTAAAAGCTCTACTGACTCTACTGACCGTAAATCTCCACTGACTACTGACCAAAGCTCTACTGACTCTACTGACCGTAAGCTCTACTGATTCTACTGATCAAAGCTCTACTGACCTCTACTGACCGTAAGCTCTACTGACTCTACTGACCAAAAGTTCTACTGACCAGCTACTGAACGTAAGCTCTACTGACTCTACTGACCAAAGCTCACTGACTCTACTGACCATAAGCTCTACTGACTACCGTAAACTCAGCTGACCAAATAAGCTCTACTGACTCTACTGACCGTAAGCTCTACTGACTCTATTGACCAAAGTCTACTGACTCTACTGAACGACCATAAGTTCTACTGACTCTACTGACCAAAGCTATGACTGACTCTACTGACCGTAAGCTCTACTGACTTACTGACCAAAGCTCAGCTGACTCTACTGACCAAAGCTCTACTGACTCTACTGACCGTAAACTCTACTGACCAAAGCTCTACTGACTCTACTGACCGTAAGCTCTACTGACTCTACTGACCAAAGCTCTACTGACTCTACTGACCGTAAGCTCTACTGACTCTACTGACCAAAGCTCTACTGACCCCACTGACCGTAAGCTCTACTGACCATGACCAAAGCTCAGCTGACTCTACTGACCATAAGTTCTACTGACTCTACTGACCGTAAGCTCTACTGACTCTACTGATCAAAGCTCTACTGACTCTACTGACCGTAAGCTCTACTGACTCTACTGACCAAAGCTCTACTGACTCTACTGACCAAAGCTCTACTGACTCTACTGACCGTAAGCTCTACTGACTCTACTGACCAAAGCTCTACTGACTCTACTGTCCGTAAGCTCTACTGACTCTACTGACCAAAGCTCTACTGACTCTACTGACCGTAAGCTCTACTGACTTTACTGACCAAAGCTCTACTGACTCTACTGACCGTAAGCTCTACTGACTCTACTGACCAAAACTGGTTGAAGTGTTTTGTCGAGGGGTGGGATGACTTTTCCTTTGAAATAAATCCAGAAGTGGTCTCTCATTAGTTGTTGATTATAACGCTGTAAAACGCAGTCTCTGTAGATTGTAATGTATCTTTGAAGATCTTCAAAAAACTATTCAAATACAAGGATCATGAAGTGGAAATTTCAAAAATGTGGCACATGAGGACATCAGTAATTCCAGTTGTACTTGGAGCCCTCGGATTGAGTGGAAAATGTTCCGATGGACTTATTGTAGCGATTCCTGGTAGCCAATTCCTTCAAGAAATACAAAAAAATTATACTTACATGTACAGCTCACATATTACGAAGATTTTATGCATGGGAAATGTGTGATCTTTTTTTTTAGAAAAATAATCAGTGGAAAATGTCATGAAAACATTTCTGGCCTAAACCCTCTAGTTGCGACCCGAAAGAAAATGTGTATACAACAGAAAACAAAAGAAGAAGAATTATTAATAATAATAATAATAATAATAATAATAATAATACATTTGATACACCATTATAATTATACTATCGGTTATTTGCACTAATATAATCATCCTTCAAATATTTTCAAGTACCTGAGCTGAACTAAAATCTATTTAATTAATATGGAAGTAAAAAAATATCTCAATTTGATTTGTGAAATGGCTATAAGGGTTTTTTGCTCCTGTCTTCATGACAGCACCCTTGTGTAAGTGCTATTAATTTCTTATTCAGGTGCTTTTATTAATGTCCATTCCGTACTTTAATACAATACTACTGATGGGACAAAGTCTTGGAAGAAGTCTTTTTCATGCTGACGGGTAAATTTGATTTCTGAATTGCTGAGGCCTCTCCAGGGCACAGGTTTGAAATTAAATTATAATAAACTTTCTTTATCTATAGTACTCACCTAGGGCGGCTACCTTTATATCTGAGTGGCAGAAATTAGTTAAATCTTCTCAAATAATTGGGGGATAAATTAATAATAAAGTCAGGCAGTACGCATGAAGTCCAGCGGTTAGTAGCAGCTGCTGCTGGTTCCTTGAAAGCCGATTTCAACTGACCGGTGTTTAAACTGGTGCGTTAAAATGCTATTTTATGTTACGACTTCTTATAGCAATTTTCTAAGCCCTGCTTAGATGTGGCACAAGGTCGAAAGTGTTGGGGCACCCAGTGAGGATCGAAGTCACTACTCAATCGTAATTGATCTGGCAAGACAAGCTTTGTAACCGTTTCACCACGTCGAGGTGGCCATGG